CTAATTCTTCTGTTCCAACTCTCCCACCTGTTCCAGGAGCAGCCGCTGTATGATGTCATCCAGGAAGCTCTGCAGCGCCACCTGCAGGGCATTTCCTACAGAGAGAGAAATGCTGGAGCCAAGATAGACATGAACATGAGGGATGAAGGTGAGGCCGGCCTTTAACTACCAAGCAGTCTGTCCCATTAGGTCCGTTTCATTTCGTAGCTCATTTGGCCCAGTTCCAGTTTTTCAGTGGCTGGTCCCGAGCCTGGTTCTGGTTCTGGTTGTTCCTCCTTCAATCTGTCTGGACTCTGACCCTGTTGGCTTCAGTAAACCTTGTCCTGGACCAGACAGGTTCTGTCCTCAGCAGTGATTCTGATCCTTTTCTCCTGTCCAGGGTTCAACGTGGCGGCTAAAGTCGACCCGGCTACCGGCTTTGTGACCGGAGGAAACCGCTTCAACTGTGGAACCTGGATGGATAAAATGGGGGAGAGCGAGCGAGCGAGGAACAAGGGGATGCCTGCTACTCCCAGGTCAACACTTCTCACGCCTCTGATGTCAGATCTGTTTGTGGTCGTTAGATCTTATCTAATGGAGAGAGCGTAGGAGATCAACCCTGCAGAGAATCTCCTTTGTCTTTATTTCTGATCAGACGAGCCGGCTAACAGCTCCACCAGAACCTCTCCTGGCCTTAATCATAAATATATTCTAGTTAGATTATCAGAGGAGCATCTCTTTCACAGCAGTTCATCAAGCGGTCTCTGTAGGAGTCCAGTGGAGCTTCGGACCCTTCATCAGTTCCTCAGATAAAGACAGGCAGGATGTTCTGTTGCTGCGGCGCCAGCCCTGGTCTCTGTCCACAGCCAGCCTCCTGCGGGTTACCTCTATGTCTCTGCAGTCATTTCTACGTCAGTCTTTGATATTTAACTTCATCATTGGTTCCTCTACCTGTAAGCTCCGTATCAAGGAAGAACCCGGTTCTGTAGATCACGGATCTGGAGAACCCAGATCTACTGAACCTGTGTTGAAGCATTTAGAGGAAATTGTTAGTTGTTAGACCAGGAGGATCCTGCAGGTCCAGTTTTCCCAGCGTGGGTCTGAAGCTCCTTTCTGTGACCTCAGCTGGTTTGGGACTTTCTGTGGTTAAC